ATGTTCAAGTTTATCTTCTATTGCTCGACTTGTTGCCATACGTTGTTGTCTACACTTGCGTCATGTGGCAAAACCAATTTTCATTCTTTATGGCAACGACCGTACACATGCATGTGCACAGGATGAGGCAGACCTGGTTGTGCGTGTGGGTGATCTCGAGCTTGAGTTGCAGTTATTGCAAGTGGTGCCGAGTCAAGCTTTTGACCTCATTTTTGGTATGGATTGGTTGCAGCACAATCATGCTAAGTGTGACTTTGAGGCTTCTCCCCCTTATCTCATACTTCCTTATGTTTCATCCATTCCTCTCACTTCTGTACCTCTTCGTCCCTTTACTTCTACCTCTTCTTCCATTATTTTTGTTCCCCCACTATTTCCTCCTGTGTTTCCATCTTGTTTTGCTCTTCCCTTTTCCGATCCCTCCGATGATCTTTGTGTTGCAGCTGTTGACTGGCTCATGAAGGAGTATTTTGATCTCTTTGAATTTGACCTATCATCTGGGCCAAGATTGCCGCACGTCATCCGATTCCCACTGGGGATGCTTGTCCAATCAAGGTTCCTGTTCGTCGTCGGTCACCCAAGGAGATCAAGATTTTACATGCAAACGTCAAGGAGATGTTGGAGAAGGGTGTTATTCGGAAGTCGCGGAGTCTTTAGGCATGTGAACCTCATCTTGTGATGAAACCTGATGGGAGTATTCGTTTTTGCATCGACTATCGTCCGTTAAACGAAGTGACGATCCCGGATGTGTACCCTCTTCCTCACATTGCTGATTTCTTGGATTGTCTAGGGTGAAGTCGTTGGTTCACCAAGCTAGATCTTGTTTTTGGGTACTAGTAAGTACCGATGGCCGAAGAAGATATTCCTAAGACTGCTTTTCGTACATTGTTTGGTTTATGCGAGTTCTTGGTGATGCGTTTGGTTTAAACAATGCTCCAGAAACTTTCCAGCAGATGATGGACGAAGTTCTTTGTGATATGCCAGAGGTGACTGCTGACTTCATTGATGATGTCTTGATTCACTCGGAGGGGACGTGGGAGGAGCATATTCGTGATGTGTGTAAAGTGTTGGATCGGCTACACGACGTTGGTTTAAAGTTGAAGCGGTCGAAGTGCGTGTTTGGGTCCAAGGATACAACTTATCTTGGGTACCGTATTTCTCGTGAGGGTTTGCAAGTTGATCCTGACAAACTTGTGGCTGTTCTAAAGTTCCGTACTCCGAAGTGTGTGAATGATGTGCAACACTTCTTGGGCAAGGTGCAGTATCTCGGTCGTTTTGTGGATCATCTTTCTGATCGCACTGCACTATTGCGAGTGTTGCTAAAGTCATCAACATCATCTTTCTTTTGGTCTCCAGATTGTGAGCGGGCGTTTGGGGATCTCATAGAGCTGTTGACGACTCCTCCGGTTTTGGCATATCCTGACTACATTTAACCTTTTATTTTGCGCGTAGATGCTTCTGATATTAGTCTTGGAGATGTGTTGATGCAAGAGAGCTCGAGTGTGTTTGGTCAGCACCATCCCATTGCGTATATAAGCCGTACATTACAACCAGCGGAAATGAACTACTCCACAACAGAGAAGGAGTGTTTAGTAACAGTTTGGGGTTTCGAGAAAGTTCATGCATATCTACATGGTTCTCGAACTTTACTTGAAGGTGATTATGCTGCTGTTACTTCATTATTGAAGCGGAAGAACTTGGTTGGTCATTCTGCTTAATGGGCTTTGAAGCTTCAGATATATGATTTTAATGTTGTTTATCGCCTAGGGAGTTCTATGGCTGATGCTGATGCCCTTTCTCGAGCTCCTCTTCCTTTTTCATTCTCTTTTCATGTTTCTGATGAGCTTGTTGTTCCAGCCTTTGTGGATTTTCTAGACGATGATTCTGTGCCATCGGCGGTTGCTGTACTTGACGTTTAGTGTCCACAAAGTGCAAAGCAAGATCTACCTTCTTTTGATGAGGTTCGCGAGGCTCAAAAGATTGAGCCATGGATTCGAAGGCTTCGAGATGGGTTTGAGAATCCTGCATCACTTGCTGATGACTTGCCTTTCCAGCATTTACATTCTCAATATCGCCTTGAAGACGGCCTTCTTTATTTTGTAGGGACAGATCCTGATGATCATTTACAGCTAGTGGTGCCTTCTATCTTTATTCTGCGGTTTCTTCATGCCTACCATGATTCTCCTGTTCTAGGTGGGCATATGGGACATCGTTGTGTAACCGAGAAGCTGCGCAGGTCTTTCTATTGGCCGAAGATGCGACGTGATATTATCCGGTATGTGCGTAGCTGCGTTTGGTGCCAAGCTCGTAATACTCCCCCTCAGGCTGCGGAAGGACGGTTGGAGTCAATTGCAGTTTCCCGTCCATTTGAGTTGGTGGCATTTGATCTTATAGGACCTTTTCCACAGTCAACTGCTGGCAATGAATATGTTATTATTGCTTCTGACTACTTGACTTATTAGGTGGAAGTTGGTGCTCTTGCTAGCGCCTTTGCAACTTCTGTTGGATACTTCCTCCTCAATCGAGTGGTGTTCCAGCATTCTTGTCCAAAGCGGATTCTTTCGGATAATGGTCCTGCATTTATGGCTAAGGCATTTCATGTTTTGACTCGGTTGGGGATACGCCACACTTTCACGAGTGCTTATCATCCACAATCAGACGGTCTGGTGGAACGGCTCATTCGGACATTCAAGGGGATGATTGCGAAGTATATGAACTTTCAGCATTCGGATTGAGATGGTTATTTGCTGTCTCTTCGGTATGCATATGTCACAGGGGTGCAGAGTTCTGTTGGTGCTTCACCATATAAACTCCTATATGGTCATGATCCAATATTACCAATGAAGCTAGGCTTACCTTCGCGATTGCCATGAGCTGCGGATGCTAGATCATGGGATTAGTATTTGACGAGTATTCTTCCACTTGTCCGAGCGGAGTCTACCGAACACTTAGGCCGCGTACAAGTGGGACAACAATGGCAATACAACTCCCATCATCGTCCATCTGCAGAATACAACGTGGATGATTTGGTGTTAGTCCATTTTCCCCATCTTACGGTACGTGGTTTATCTAAGGGGCTCCTTGCACAGTGGAAAGGACCGTATCGGGTGTTGCGGCAAGTTGAATGACAAGTTTATGAGGTTTGGCATAACGTCCAGTAGGTCGATCCTCCAAAAATTGTGCATGTGCAACGGTTGAAACACTTCATACAAAGGGATTAAGAGCAGTTAATACCACCTACAGATCCGCCGATGCCTCCTCCTGATGTTCCTCCAAATCCCGGCCCGTCTACAAGAGAACTCTGATGGTCTTCCATTATTCTGAGAGGAGGGGATGATGTGAGGGCCAAGTGTATGGCTACAATGCCGTATACTAATATTAGCGTAGTGGGATTTTGATAGCCGTCGAATTGATTTCAATCTGGACCACTCGCTCCTGTATATAAGCTAGGGCTTTTGAGCTAGTGGATATGCACATTTCTGTATTCCCTTTTCATATTCCATGCACTCATAGTTGTTGAAAAAAACACTATTTTAAATTCTTCTTTATCTACCCTATCTTCACTATATAAAATAATCCAATTATCTATACAAATAAAATCGTTTAGACATAGTGCTTTCTTACAAAACTTACATTTTAATTTTAAAAGACTATAATTTATTTTTTTTCTTGAGAAACATAATTATAGTTTAAGAAATTTATTACAAATTTTAAATTCACTATATTTATCTAAGTGTTATTATTTTTTACATAACATATTCCTCTTTAAAACCCTCAATACCTTTAATAAATTTTGATATTTAAATTTTTTAAAAACATTATAATAAAAGTAAAATGTGTTTCAATTATAATTATGCGAGCTACTATTTAATCTTTCCTTGAAAAGGGAAATAGATTTTTCCTATGTCTAGCTAAGCATCAAGAAGTATCAATTTATGATTTTTTAGGTAAATGAATGTTGATTATTATCATCACTTTTATTTTAATTATCAATTTTATAATGTTTTAATCACTTTTAACTATATTTATCAACTCTTTTACCACTAATTTTACTAAAAACTTATTCTTATTATTTTTCTAAAATTAATATTAATTTAATATTTTAGTTTGAAAATATCTTTTATTTTCTTTTTAGATTTCAATCATAAAGGAAAGTTCTCAATATAAATTTTTTGCTTAAAACTATATTTTATATTTCTTAAAAACCTTTAAGCTTAAATGTTTAATTAAAATTTACCATACAATAGAAAGAATGATCTTTGTTAGATATGATTGAAAAACACATGAACAATTATATATGGTTATATAAGAAAAATAATTATATGTTACTAAATTTAACATTTTTATTATAATTATATATATATTATTATATTATAATATTTTCTATATTATATATTATTTCTATATTTATAAATGAATAATATTTCTTGTAATTGTTTTTCACATTTGCTTAGTTTTATTTACCCAACCACAAGAAAAGTCATTTGTTGATATTTTGTAACATTTTGCAAAAATATTCAATATAAAAGGAATTAAAATGAAGGTGTTAAAGGGTTTTATGACACAATCTTTAAAATGTTATTATTTATGACATAATGCATAAAGTATTAAATTAATGTTAAATTTTATTATAAAGTGTATAAATAATTGTAACCTCCATGAATCAACAAAAGCCAAAATGTTATTTTTATCAATAACACCAAAGAAAGCTTTTGTGCTAGGATCCACTTTCATTTTCTTTTCACCTCTTTTAATAAAGGAGGAGAAAAAATTTTAAATGACATTGTGAGAATTTCATTGATATTTTTTTTGGCCATAAAAAATTGAGAATTTTAATTGTTAAAAAAGACATTTTTCTTGAATTTTTTTTCCATCTTTCCAAATCATTAATTATCATTTATGTCAAAAAAAAATCCCAATTATGCTAAAATGTGCATAAGAAATTTTTCTCAAAATTCTGGAGTCTATGTGACATCCTCTTCATGCTTCCTCTAACAACAATGTCAGCATGGTAGACAAGGAGTGATCAAAGATCAATATATACTCATTGTGTTTCAACGAAATCTAAGTGGGAATGCTTGCAGCATTTGCCCCATTTGGGCAAATTCTACAGTGGTGCATACTTTTAAGGCATTTGCCATGAGCTTTAACTCCCAGAGATGCAACCATCAACAATATGGCCTGAGTGCCATGCAAATGCAAACAAGCTAAAACACAAAGAGGTTACCCCATGTGGCCCACAGCTAGCTAAACATTGCTTTGTCCCTCATGGCCCCAATCTCCTCTTGTTCCCTCCTCAGCCCCAGGCCCCCATAGATATTCCCCATGAGCACGTACGCAGACTCGGCCCGTGCATCCAGTGCCACCACCCGATCAAACGCGAGCTTCCCCAGCACCGCATTTCCCCACTTGTGGCACGCCCCCAGCACCGTCGTCCAAGTTACCACCGTCGCCTCAAACGGCATCTCCTTGGCCAGCTTCACTGCCTCCACCACCCGGTTGGCCCGCCCCAGCATGTCCACCACGCAATGGTAGTGCTCCACGCCCGGAGTCACGCCATACCGCGGCGCCATCGATTCGAAGTAGGACAGCCCTTTCTCCACCAGGCCGCCGTGGCTGCACGCTGTGAGAACGGACAGGAAGGTGACGCCGTCTGGCGGTATGCCGCTGGCACGCATCTTCTCCAGCGCCGCAAACGCCTCGTCCGTGGAGCCGTGGCAGCTATAGCCGGAGATGAGCGCGCTCCATGCCACCAGGCTCTTGCTCTCGAGCGCGGAGAAGACCGCCTCGGCCTCGTCCATGCAGCCACACTTTGCGTAGAAGTCCACCAGCGTGTTGGCGAGGAAGGCGTCCGTGTGGAAGCCGGCGTCTCGGGCCTGCGAGTGGATCCTCCGCCCGACCTCCAGCGCCCCCAGCCGGGTGCAAGCGATGAGCACCGCCACGAACGTCCGCGCGTTTGGTCTCGGCCAGGAGGTATCGACGTGTTCGTCGCTGCTAGCCAAAGGAGTGATGGCCCCGGTGGTGCTCGTGGTCGTCATCCGGAAGAAGAGGTCCACGGCCAGGCCGTTGAGTCCGTTGTCGCTGTAGCCGAGTATGAGCGCCGTCCAGGAAACCACGTCGTGGCGCTGCATCCGATCGAATACTCTCCGGGAGTCGAGCATGCTGCCGCACTTGGCGTACGCATCCACCAGCGTGTTGCCGAAGAAGATCTGGCACTCGCCTTCCTCCCTGGTTACCCGAGAGTGAAGAGACATGACCTTGTCCAGACACCGGAGGTTCAGCGGCATTGTCAGGTTGATGTTGCTGCTGCCTTGCTGCTCCTGCGAGGCCAAACTCCCGCAAGCCACCAGCGCGGATATGAAGCTGCGGATGTTTGGCTTGCAGCCACTGGCTTCCATTGCGTCAAAAGCCTCCACAGCTTTCTCAGGCTGGCCGTTTTCAGCGTATCCCAGCACGAGTGTGTTCCACAACACTGCATCCTGACGATGGCTCTTGTCGAAGACGCGCTGCGAGTCGTCCATGCTCCCGCACTTGGCATACATGTCAATCAGAGTCCCTGCTACGTAGCTGTCCCTGTCATATCCAGAGCTTGCAGCTCGAGAGTGTAAGTCCCGTCCTCTCTCCAGGCATTTCTGTTTCACAGGCTTCCCGTCGACCACCACCGCTGTTTCCTTGTCTGCCAGGCTCGCACATGCCACTAGAGCAGCGACGTAAGCCTGAGAGTCCCGTTCGAGGTCCATGCTCTCGAAAACTCCCAAAGCCAGCTCGACTTCCCCGTTCTCTACGTAGCCCAGGATCAGAGAATTCCACGAGACGACGTCGTGAGATACCATCCTGTCGAAAGTCGCACGGGAATCCACCATACTCCCACACTTGGCGTACATATCAACCAGTGTACTTGTCAAGAAGATCCTGGAGCCATAACCGGACTTTTCAGCCTGTGAGTGAAGAGCCATTCCCCTCTCCAGACTGTTCACTTTCACTGTTCCTGTACCAAAATTCCTCCCCCGTTCACTCGCCGCCAAGCTCGCGCATGCCGTTGCGGCAGCTACAAACGTCAAGTCGTCGGGTGCACAGTCCATTTTCGAAAAGAGCTCCCAGGCCATCTCGCTCTTTCCATTCATCACGTATCCCTTGATGAGACTATTCCAAGTTGCCGCATCTCGAGCTTGCATGCTGTCGAAGACCTGCTTCGCATCGACCAGGCTCCCACACTTGGCATACATGTTGACCAGGCTGTTAGTTACGTAAGGATTTGAGTAGTGTCCGCTGCCAATGCCATTCAAATGAAGGGCCTTACCAAGTTCCAGCTCCTTGGAGTTACTGGATGCTTTGAGAGCGGTGAGCAAAACGTTTACCTTCAGCTGTATTCCGCAATGGTTGTTCCTTAGCTCCAGTTCCACAAAACTCCATTGATCCATTTTGGCCAACATCTGCATCTGCCACGAAAAACAATCAGAACAAAAAGAATGAAGCAAAAGACAGCGAACTTGCCTTGTTGGGTCGATCAAGTGTCCAGAATGTCTGACTCGTACACCGGCGCTCGAAACAGCAGCATCTACGGGTAGCGAGTTTTCTGACTGACATGAGGCTTCCATCTGGAAAACGCTTCAAGCTCAACTACCTACAGCATACCTCTGGCTTCCATTTTTAGGGATTAGGCAAACGACGCAGGCAGATGAAAAAAACGCATTCCTTTCCACCACTATTTACACAGAACAAAGTACTAGCACCAACATTGTACCTTCTTCTGCAATTTCGGGAAAGATGTCAAGCGTACAGACAAATCAAAACGAGCACTTCCTTACCATCCACTTCAAATCCTTGAGCCGCTCTAAAGCCTCTAGAAGTTCGGTCTGTTTTACCAGTACGTCGCCCAAAGTCTGCATCAAGCAAGTGAGTATTCGACTGCAAAAACAATTTAAAAACTCGAGCTAAACCTTCTTAGTTTCCGCGACGTCCGCTTCCAGCGTCTTGATGCGTTCTGCAGCTAGCTCCTGCTTTGGAGGAAGTGTCGCCAAAGGCAAACTGCTTAGTTCTGTCAGCTTTTTCTCCAAGTCTTCCACTCGAGAATTAAGGACGACAGAAACGTTGGGCCCTTTCGTCACGTTTTGAGGTTCAGCAGGTGTGACTGGCCGAGGGCTCTCTTGTAATTGCTGCTCCCTCCAAATCAACCGTCGAAAAAAGCTTAAGATTCCCATAAAAAACCCGACTAAAACTGAAACAAAGCTGTCATTATCTGTAAAATGTTGAAGTTCATCAGCTAGTAGCACACGCAAACATGTAAGACGTACCTCTTTTTCGAGCTGGTAATGCTCTTTTTGGTACCATGTTTTGCTGAGTTTCGTTGCTCTCCGGCGTAGACTTCTGAACCTTACTGTCGTCTATTGTAGTGCTTTCGGTTTGTTGTTCGGAGGAAGAAGTCCCAGTCGCTGGTGAATCTACGATCTTGTCTACCACCACAACATCATCTGTTCCTAAGTTCCTTGCAATGCCGTCTATCTGTCATAAAATTAAGAACAGGAGTTAGATGAACCAACAATGAAATGGGATACAAAAGGTACTATACTTCTTCCTGGACGGGCTGCATTCGCGATGTTTCTGCGAGCGTCTGCGTCGAGGACCCGACTACCTCGCCGGGGGGTGCATCACTCTCGCCGGTCTAAAGAGCAAAAGCTCAAAACATTCCGACAGAAGCAAGGTGTTTTTCTACCTGAGAATTTATGCTGACAACCTGTCTTGAATACTTTGCTTTGCCAATCATTACCGCCTGGAAAAGAACTAATAGAACTTCACGGGTGTGCTTGCCAACTTAAAACTTACCTTCAATAACTCTGGATCCTTCCAAGGTCCTTTATCAGATCTCATACATCCTCCTTCTCCAGGACATGTGCACGTACCACCTATAAACTCTGGCAGCTGACTGTATGAAGAAAACACGTCAAATTTATGCATACAATCATGTTTCAGATATTACCTTGCATCCACCACTTCCAGGAGATTTGGCTGGTACTTGTATCCTAGAACCTGGAAAGTAACAACGTTTCTGCGGGCGTAACCAGTAAGTTTTATCTCACAGTGATTTTAGAAGTCGTTTTGGGATCTAGGAACCCCTTCACTGTGTTCCATAACAGCCTGAATCCAGCACCAGCATTGATAATAAAAAGCTTGTGCAAAGTCTGCAACAATCAAAATGTTTCTTTTCAGCACAAAACTAAAGGCAACAGACTTACTTCCGGGTAGTTATCCCCATCAACTTTCTGAATTCTTATAATAAGGTCCCGTGCAGTCTTACTGAAATTTTTGAGACCCTGCAAGACAAGTGGATTACCTTAAGAGACTAGAAAGAAAAATTCCAAACCCATACCACACCAGAAACATCCAGAATCGTTGTTCCGGAGTCAATGTGCCGTTTAACTGCAAGCGAGCATGCCGGGAACTTGATTCTCAAAAGCTTCTCAAACTCCTGAACATGATACTTCAAGTATCTCTCCAATGTTGTCACCTGCATCAATTTGTTGGGCTCAACCTTTCCCAAGCGCTCGATGTAAATGGGCCTCCCTTCTTTGTCAACCCCATGGTGACCTTGAGGATAGTATTTTTTCACTTCCTCGATCTCACCAAACTCGAAATCCTGTACACAAACGAAGTTTTCCTCACAGTGACAAAAAGATATACAATGAGATATCATTTACCTCCCCAATGGTGTCCACCCCGTTCTCCGCTCGCCACTGCAGCATATTTGACCACATCAGTTTAGCCTTGTCAATATCAAGTCCACGAGCACGCAAGAACCTGAAGGATTAACATTAGAACTATACAAAAATTCGAAAACCATCCATCGCAAGCATTAGAGTATACGAGTACCTTCGCAGCTCGTGATAGTCGTCATGGCTTTCCGGAAGTAAATTCTCGGACACCAGTGTGGTTCTAAAAGTTTGCACGATGACTTGCTCCTCAACGTCGCGGATGTCCTGGATGGGAATGGACTGCCTCCGATCAAAGATTTTAGACCTCCTCCTGAGTGCTTGCTTGAGCTTGGACGAAGCGATGATAGCCTTGAGCGCGGCCTTCCTCCTGCCCTTCTTGCTGCCACTGCTGTTATGCTTCTCCAACCTCGGAGAGGTCAATCCGCTGCTACTCCGGGCAGGCTCTCGCGCATCCTCCAGCGCCGGAGGAGGCGGCTTCATTGAGCTAGAGGGGACATCTAAACGACGGAGCAACATTTCACCCCAAGATCCAATGCAAGAAAAGAAATCCCTACCTTGAGATTGCGATTGCGCCCGTGGTTCCTCCATATTACGAAGAACTCATCGCCGCGAGGGGGCCATCCCTGGACAAAGGAGGAGACGAAGAATCTAGGCGCCAGGAGCTATGATCGGGCGAGCACAACGAGATTGTTCCAACGAACCGGAAGAGCCAGCGCGATCATCATCCGTTTCCAGCGACATGGAAACTAAGCGGCATTTGTTCTGCCCTATTCCCCCGCTATCGTACAAGACTTGCGGCGAGCCGTCGGGTGCCAACAGCCCAAAAAGCGCCACGTCACCGGCGTGTCGACCGTTATGTTTTGTGAATTAGGGTTCTTTGCGCCAATCACTGCGTCAAGAAAATCGATGAATCCAATTCCTCTGCAAAAAATGTTTGGGCGCCTCGGTGGGCGCGGCAGATCGTGGCAGGGATCATTCTCCTTTCTCAGCAGCGATCTTTCAAATGCTAACCCTCGGATCGTGGATCTCCTCTCCACGTTTGCCCTTTGTGGGCATCATGGGGAACCACAAAATCTTTTTGACACAATTCAAGAACGCGATCTAATAGCTTGTATTGTAATGCTCACAGCGCTCACAGCTTTTTACGTATTGAGGAGGGCCTTGGGAAGAAATCGCTGAAAGAGATCGTCTTGCCTGGACTGCCATGGTTGCTGCAAATGCCGGAAAGCAGATTGGAAAAGTACCCAAGATGTTTAATCAAATGCTTCTCCACGTCAAAGCAGCAGGCCGCGTGTTCGATTCCAAGACCACATTGAAGAATTTCGATGATCCACGCTTCCTCAGCTTTCACATCGATCTGGTCTGGTCTCTGAATTTTTCCATCAAGCTCGTGCAAAATTCTTCATAAGTTTGCCATTCTTTCATATGGATGTGTTCACAGCTTCCATCCTGCTCATCTTGATCTTGCTTCCACTTCTCGGATTCTACTTTCGCCAGTCATGGCTCAAGCCGCCCTTGCCACCATCGCCATCTTCCGGCCTGCCGCTAATTGGCCATCTCCATCTCCTGGGAAAACTCCCTCACCAATCTTTCCAAGCACTGGCCGAGAAGCACGGCCCCATTTTCTCGCTGCGATTCGGCTTTCGCCATGCCGTGGTGATCTCCAGCACTGATCTGGCGAAAGAGGTACTCAGGGTTCACGACGCAACGTTCGCTTCCAGGCCTTCCAACGTCGGACTGGACATTGGGTTCTACAAATACTTCATGGGAGGAGCACCGTATGGCGATTTATGGAAGCAGCTGAGGAGGCTCTACAGCGTGGAGCTCCTCACCTCGAAAAGAATCGATTCCTTCCTCCCGCTGCGCTTGGAGGAGCTCTCTCTCATGCTGTCGGGCTTAGCAAGAGCACACGAGAGGAATGAGGCCGTGGACATGAGGAACCTCTTGACATGCTTCACCTTCAACACCATCACCCGGATCTTGATGAACAAGAGGTACTTCCAGCACCAAGGAGAGGAGTTGCACGGCATTGATTCGAGCGAGGCCAGCGTCTTCAAGGCCATCCTGGTGGAGTTGTCCGAGACCGCTCTACAGTTTCGCATAAGCGCGCTGCTCCCTTCCTACCTCAGGTGGATCGACTGGAGCGTCTACTGGATCCGGAGGCTACACGCGAAGCAGGACCAGTTCCTGCAAAAGATCATCGACGAGCATAAGAACGAGAAGAACACATCGACGTCAAGCAAAGACATCATGGATATGATGCTGGGGCTTCTGGCGGAGGACCCGCGAGGAGAAGACATAGTGAAAGCTGCCATGACAGTAAGCCACTGTTAGTCGAATGCCTAGAGCTTGGTGGATTTACTTGGCGTGCGCAGGAGCTTGTATCGGGCGGGACTGATACATCCGCGACGGTGATTGAGTGGGCCTTGGCAGAGATCCTTCACCGTGCTCCGCGCGTCTTGGACAAAGCACACGACGAGCTCGACGCCGTGGTTGGACGCTCCCGGATGGTGGACGAGGCCGACCTTCCGCGCTTACCTTATCTCCAAGCCATTATCAAGGAAAACTTTCGACTCCATCCCCCGGCGCCACTCCTCGTCCCTCACATGCCGACGCACGAATCCAATCTAGCGGGCTACCGAGTTCTAGGAGGAACCACCACCTTCGTCAACGTCTACGCCATCGGGAGAGATCCAGCCCTGTGGGACGAGCCCCTCGAGTTTCGTCCGGAGAGGTTCCTGGGCAGTTCCATGGACGTCAAAGGCCAGGACTTCGAGCTGCTTCCGTTTGGCTCGGGACGAAGAGCGTGTCCGGGGATGGGGCTCGGGCTTAGAACTGTTCAGCTGGCACTCGCGAACTTGATCCACGGCTTCCACTGGAGTGCTGCCGAGGAGAATGCGCTGGAGGAAGCTGGCGGCGCTGTCATCTGGGTCAAGACACCACTCAAAGCCATGGCTTCTCCGCGACTTCCAGTTGAGGTGCTCGCATGGAGTTGAGCATTCCACTCCTAGAGTTGAGCATTCTACTCCTATAGTTGAATGAAAATCTAACCTTTTTTTGAGTCACCATTTCGTGTAGAATTCTCTTAGCGCCTTGGACTCTCACGTCCCATCCCATGCTCTTCAGGCGAAGCGTCTGCCTGGAAGAGATCCAATCGTGCATGTCACCTCTCCAAGCGCGAGAAATCTATGCATCGATTCCAGGAAATTCGCTCCAAATTGACGCATTCCTCTGCAACAAGCTCGTTCAGATGTTTGGGCGCCTGGGCTGCGTGGAGCGGGCGCGGCAGATCTTTGACGCCATTGCCGACAGGGACTCCTTCTCCTGGGGGATCATGCTCTCCATATACGCGCGCAGCGGCGATCTCTCAAACGCCAAGGGCGTCTTTGATCGAATGCCGAGGTGGAGTCTCGGATCGTGGACTGCTCTCCTCTCCGCATTTGCTCTCTCCGGGCATCACGAGGAAGCAAAAACGCTATTTGATACGATGCAAGAACGCGATCTGATAGCTTGGACGATAATGCTCACAGTGCTCGCCACATTTTCTAACATTGAGGACGCTAAATACCACTTTGATCAAATGCCCGAGAGGGATCTCGTCGCCTGGACTGCCATGCTCGCTGCAAATGCCGAGCGAGGGCAAATGGAAAACGCTCGCGAGACGTTCGATCAAATGCCCGAGCGGAATCTCTTCTCATGGACGTCTCTTCTTAGCGCGTACGGACGCTCCGGTGACGTCAAAGCAGCAGGCCGCGTGTTCGATTCCATGCCCGAGTGGAATCTCGTGGCATGGACGGCTATGCTCACGGGATATTCCTTGAGCGGGGATGTTGTCAGGGCCAAGCGGGCGTTCGATAGCATGCCGGAGAGAGATCTTATCGCCTGGACAGCAATGCTCTCCGCCTATGCTTTCAACGGGCATCTTCGCTACACGCGAGAAATTTTCCAGCGAATGCCGGAGCGCGATCTAATTTCCTGGGCAACGATGGTTGCGGCACTTGTGGAGAACGATCTACTGGAGGAATCGAAGGAGCTGTTTGATCGAATGCCGCGGCACTGCGCTCTCTCGTCTAATACTCTCCTCGGAGTATATGCCCAAAAGGGGTACGTCCACCAGGCGCGGAGATTGTTTGATTCCATGGAGGAGCGCAATCTGGTGACGTGGTCCAAAATGCTGATGTGCTATGCCCTGGTTGGTGGGGTTGACGAGCTGGCGGCGCTCTCAAGGGGGCTCAAGTTCCACACTCTTGCCACGTGGAACGCTTTGCTGACTGGATATGCCCAGGCAGGGGATGTTGAGGAATCGATGCGAATATTTGACGCTATGAAGGAGCGAGATCTCGTGTCATGGACCACGCTTTTGACAGTTTTTCTTCATTCCAAATCTCTTTGCCCTTATGAATCTGTAAAACACGTATTTGATAGAATGCCTGAGCATGATCCAGTGTCTTTCAACTTGTTATTCACATCAGTAGCGCAGTTTGGCAATTTGGACTTAACCATAGAGTGTTTCGATCAGTTACCTTGTAAAGATTTAGTCGCATGGACGACATTGTTATGTATTTACGCTCATCATGCTTGTGTAGATGAAGCTAAAGTCCTTTTCAGTCTAATGCCAGAGAGAGATCTTATTGCTTGGAACTCGATGCTCACGACATATACCTCAAATGGGCATCTTGCAGCAGCTGGCCGCTTGTTCGATTCCATGCCGGAGCGAGACACAGCCTCCTGGAACGCAATGCTGGCGGCATACACACAGCACAACCAGCCTACCCATGCCCTAGATTCCTTCTTCAGCATCCCACTGATCCTCCCACCAAATGGAATCTCCTTTGTGTGCTTTCTCGTAGGCAGCAGCCAGCTCGGTAGGGTTTGGGACGGGCGGAGCGGCTGGCGGTCAATGGTAGTTGACTATGGAGTCAACCCAACCAAGCAACACTATTGCTGCGTGGTTGACCTTCTAGGCCGCGCGGGGTATGTGGGCGATGCCCAAGACCTAATCGCGGGCATGCCCTTCGTGCCAGATGCCCTAGATTGGACGTGCTTGCTGGGCGCGTGTAGAAGCAGAAGCAACACTGATCGCCAAGGAGGCGTGGAAGCTAGCAAGAGCGTTTTGGATTTAAACGCGAGCAATAGCGCGGCATATTCGCTTCTAGCCAACTCCATTGGCGGGAATCTTCCGTGAGCCTATTGTCTGGGGCGTCCGACGTGGCGCCCGGGCAAGCTTACCGGCCGGCAGATTCCCACGCGGAATTCGGTGGGCCGGTTTTTATTATGACATGGAATGGCGACGCGATGGTTTCTCACATTTGGCGTGCGATCGCGCGGTTGCCTGGGCTCCCCGCCCTCTACTGGAATTCCTCCCTCTTTTCTTTCTCTTTCTCGCTTCCCTCCTTTGCTCCACACGAGCGTCTTGTGCGTGGCTCTGCCGCCTTGCTGCTGGAGCTGGATCGATAACGGATCCTCGTGATCTAGTCGCAATAACATCTCCTCTCGATCGGGCGGTTTTGTTGCATGCTGCTGCGTGTGGATTCCTCCATCGCGCTTAGCGCCAGCGGCGACACAGGTACTAGGTTTTCGGGATTGATCGTCTTATCTTTCTTGGCCGGGAGCGGCATTGAGGCATTCGGTTGGATGAGAGATTTCTCGATCGGATCGACATTTCTTGTTTATCGTTTCGATGGGAGCTATCGCAGAGGAGGCCAAGGAGCAAACCTTCTGGACGCGAATTACTGACAATCCTCCCGATTCTCAGGTGAACAAGCCCTCTTTTCCTCGTTTTCCTCGAAAACATATGCCAGAAAAATTCTTGTTTCCAGACAAGAGTGCGTTTCCTACTTGATGAGATTGCGCTTCTACAGTCACGGTTCGAAATCAAAGATCACTACGAAAGTAAGCTAGACAGAGATCAGCGAAAAAGTAGCGGGGATGGATTGGAAAGTAAAGTCGGAGAAGAAATCGAGTTGGTTCCTCTTCAGATTGATCAAGTGAAAGATGACGCGGCCGTGGCAGCGCCGGCGTTAGTTGACGAGCAGCGAGAGTCTCAGGAAGAAATCGAAAATCAAGAATGTGAAGACATCCTAGTCCAGGTTCACCATTTGAAAACATTTCAGTCAGCTGAACTATCCTTTTCGTTTTTGTTTTTGCAGGCTTTGGAAGAGAAAGCTCGAACTTTGCTCGAAGAGAGGGCCTGGTTCTTCGAGAAGGCGGAGAAAGAGCTAAGGATCGGAAAAGTGGAGCAGTCGGACCTTGCAACGCTGTTACAACTTGAGAAGGCCAAGTTACAAAGACACAGAAGCGAGCTTGTGGCCCTCGGGAAGAAAATTGTTTATAGCACTGTTGGAGCGGCTGAACTGGCACAGGTACGTGTTGGAAAGTTTTGTTGCTGCGATCTTCTAACGTGTTTGATATACTTTAGGATATTGTTGGAAAGTTGGAAAGCTTACTCAATGAACGTCAAAGCCTTCACTTGAAATTTGAGGTGCAAGTGGAGCTGGGGCATTTCTTCAGACTTTTGAAGCTGCTGGAACTTCAGAAGGCCAAGCATGACATTTCGAGGAAAGCGATTGAAAACAGTGTGCAAGATTTTAAAGCCCAGGTAGAACAAGCCAGGAGCCAGCGGCAAACGGGGGTCCCAGGGACACGTTTAGAGATCAGCGAGCAGACACCTGAAAAAGACGGAGGAAGTGAGCCAACAGAAGCTCTAAAGGAAACGATTCTTGATTTTCCTGAAGACAGCAAGGCTTCTTCTTCTTCTTCTTCGACTGATGCCACACATTCAGATGGAAACAAGGAGAAATGGTGGAAACTCAAGAAAGAGACCAAGTCGGAAGTTTTGAAGTTGGTAGCCGCCCAAGAACAACGGTGGAAAACGCAACAAGCCGTTCTCAAAGAAATGGAACGGAGGCTGGAGGTCACCGAGCTGGAAAGCCAACGGCTTCGTAACAGGTTGGAAGAAGCGGATTGCGGCGGTGGTTGTAGAACGGAGACTGAAACTTTTTCTTGGACAGCAAGTCTTCCGCAGGGCTATTCCAGCATTTATTTTTCTCCTATTTTTCAAGAGCGAAAGCCGAGCATGAAACCTCCAAAAGATGAAAAGGATGCTGAAATTTTCAGATTGAAGACGGAAATCGGTGAACTGAAGTCGCGTCTTAATCAGAAGGTTGGTTGTCTATTGAATTCGAGCCTAACGTCAGTGTTGTTTTCTTAGCAAGGCGAGGACGACAAGTTTCTGGACAGGTATGCCATGCAACATGTTATTACTGCTGCTTATCATGTTATTCGTTCGACAGAATTCAAGTTCCTTCGGAGGAAAAAACCATTTCCATTGACGCGACTTCCAATAAAACCGAGCTTAACAAAAGGTTGTTTAAAGTATTTGGAGGTTTTCAGACAGATGTATCTCGATTGTCATCTAGCGAAGGTAAGCAGCTATTGTTTCTACATTTTATCTCACTTACGAGCTGAAACCACGCAGATGATAAGCACTCAAGCATTGACTTTGGAGAGGATTTGTCGAAAAACTCGAGTGTAGCTCCCTCTCAAAACGATGAACTGGAAGCTGACATCCAGGCGATGAAGGCAAAACGGTCTCGCGCTGCTGACGAGCATGCTCAGCAGTTGGACTTAAAAGAAAAAACTTTAGCCTACGCGCAGGAATTAAACATGCGTTTGGCCAATGACATGTCCACTGCGGAGAATGCTTTGGCAGACCTACGAGCAGAACATACTGGCTTGAGAGCCTCATTCGAAGCGAAGTTGAAAAACTCGAGGAACGAAGTAAGCAAGTTCTACTTTTATAACCGTTCTGACATATTCTCACAGGCAGAGGAGCTAGCCAAAGGGCTAAGAATGAACATCAAGGCTCTAGAAAAGGAGCTGGCCGATAAAGATTGTCTTCTAAGCGACTGGAAGAGCAGGGTGGAAGCATGCCAGAAGGAAACCGACGCTGCTGTTTTCGAGAAAAACGAGGTCCTCACAAGGCTACAGCGTGTTATGAGCGAAATGGAGAGTCAGAGCGTAAAGATCACAAAACTGGAAGCTCGTGAGGTATGCTGGTCTTTTGTTTTGTTTTTCTTTTTTCTCATATAGATCGATTGCAGCTTTATCAGGAGCAGCTCTCGTCCGATCTTCAAGCGGCGAGAAATAAACTCAATATCGAAGCTGTCGAGCACGAAGCACTTGGACAGCGTTACAGCCAGCTCCAATCCAGGCTGCTAGAGACGGAGTACCAACTTTCGCAGCGAGAGGAAGCTTTGGAACGATTGACGCTGCACTTGGCAGCGTCAGCGATACAAGAGCAGCGCCAGAGGCTCGAGGAGAGCAGCCGTGAGTCCCTGAGGAGCAAGCATCGAAAGAAAGAGCGCGCGAGGAAATCCATCCTGGAAGCCGAAGAGAAAATTGCAAGCATGGTTGCAGAGATGTCTCGAGCCAAGCTCGAGATGGAAGAACTCAAGTCGCAGAGTTTCCAGCTGCTGTCTACGAGAACAGGCAAATATTACTAATACAAACCTGTAAAAACTTTAAGCCTAAACCTTAAACCCTAAATTTATTTTAGGGTTTTAGGCAGGAAACAGACATCCAGGAGCATCCAGACACACCGCAAGGGGGATTTGGATCACAAAGTCTGGTTTCTTGGCTCTGGAGATTATTAAGCTAGGTGGTGCTCTTAGACTCTGTGGGAATGTAAATGGACTGGATACGGGTACTTGGACCTGGTGATCCTCAAAAAAGTCTTTCAGGTCTTCCGTCTTTCGGAGCAAGCTCCGAGTGCGTGTCCTCGTACCCCGTGCACACAAACGCCCAGGCCTTCGTCCTCGTATCCGTCAAGATGTGCACCAGCGGCACCCTGGACGCGGCCGCCAGGGCGTAGAAATTCAGCTCCGACCTCTGCATGCCGGCCAAGCTCATCTCCTCCACACCCAAACCGCCGTCAGCCAGGAGAAGATCACTGCTGGCGGGCACAGACGGACGTGAACAGCACCCTCGAGCCATTACTAGTTCCTAACTTCTTTTCACTCTCTCGATGGCGGTCCTTGCGTATCTTGCCAAGCAGCTAGAACTGGACATCCAAAGTTCTTACGCCCTTCAAGTGTAAACAGCGGGAATCGCGATGCCTAGCATGCGCTTATGGATCTCGCCCATGCGACATACGTGATCCATGAATCGTTCTAGTTCTCTTTTGTTTTCCTCACAAGGATCCTCGAGAAGAAAACTGCATTTTGCTGCTCCAATGGACGTTGCCTCCGATGGATCCACATCCACAGAACAGCTCTATTCAGCGACGGGATTCACACGTCAATCACCCAGCACGATCGCGGTGATTCACAAACTGGAACTTTCACAGCATGGACGTGTTCCAGTTTGGCACCCTGGACATCCTGGCCAAAAGAATGGAAAAATCTCCGCAAGATGGTTTCATCCAGCACTTGATTCTTCCAGCAAGTCTGGAGGATGGGAGTATGGATCGTCATCTCGTCGAACGAAAGGCTAGATCGGAGAAAACTATCATCAAACAAAGAAGAAGAAGAAGAAAACACCATGCGGGAAGCGTAATGGTGAAGGGGTGGCGATTTTCTCCGGATCAGGTTCGTATTTCTTTCTTTTTCTCTTTTATTCCTTTGAGTGTTTTAAAGACAATTTCTTTGTTTTGCAGTGCTGCTAGAGGATGTGCTGGATAGTGGATTCTACCCGTAAGAATTTCCGGTTCTGGATGGTGTACGTTGTCCTGCCGTGGAAGAAAACTTACAGTGTCTCTACAACCATTCTATAGCACAACAAAGACCACTGTGCCCTTTAAGAATGGGCAAAAGCTCAACTCTGGAGTAGATGAAAGTTTCTTCGATACTCCTCTTTGTTTTTGTTTTTGATCCTGACCTTTTAGAACATGCAAGTCCCTATAGGGATCTTGTAGACCCACTTTACAAAATAAGCATATGGTGTGAATAATCTGTGGCACAGGCAGCTGGAAGGCCCTACAATGCTTCCAGGGGCTTCCAGCTGCCTGTGCAGCAGATACCATAGTCCCACTTTAAGGTGAAGAAGAATGTGCTGCGTAGTTTGCAAATTCAAGTAAGAAAAAACAGTTGAAGTAAGAACGATGAAGTTTTGCTGCGTTTTTGCTTAGGAACTTGTTAAAGCTAGCAAAGGAGAAGGGTGTCGAGTACATCCCATCTCTTGTTTGTTTAAATTTTCAGGATTGAGAGTTATGCAGACAATGCTTCCAAGATTTTGTTGAATACCAACAAAGAAAATGGGTGATCGGTTTTTTTATGTTTTTCTTTCTCTTCTTGCTTTGATCAATGGAACCTTTCTGCTTTTCCTTTCAGTAAATATATTTTGTTTTGGAGAATGCTTTCTCCAAGCTAAATACTTTTCATGTGGAACTGAAGCTTTTTAATAGGAAAATATTAAAAGTATATCAAGTTATCAACACCAACATATATTAATTTACCATAGACAGCATGTTGAGAATCCATCCTTACAATACTATAAAATGTTAAATAATAAAAATAAAATTATAAATTACTAGATGTGTAAGTGCATGGAATATGGAAAGGGAATATGCATATCAATTAACCCAAAAACCTTAGCTTATATATAGGAGCGAGTGGTCCGGATTGAAACTAATCCACCAGCTACCAAAATCCCACTATACTAATATTAGTATACGGCATCATAGTCGTACACTTGGCCTTCACATCATCCCCTCCTCTTGGAATAATGGAAGACCATTAGGGTTCTTTTATAGATGGGCCAGGATCTAGAGGAACATCAGGAGGAGGCATTAATCGATTTCTAGGTGGTATTAACTGCTCTTGATCCCTTTGTATGAAGAGTTTCAACTGCTGCACATGCACAATCTCTAGAGGATTGTGGACGTCATGCTGAACTTCATAAACTTATGGTTTCACTTGCCGCAACACTTGATACGGTCCTTTCCACTGAGCAAAGAGCCCCTTAGATAAACCACGTACCGTAAGATGCAGAAAATAGACCAACACCAAGTCATCCACTTTGTACTCTGTAGGTGAACGATGATGGGAGTTGTAGCGCCGTTGTTGTCCCACTTGTACACGGCCTAAGTGTTCAGCAGACTCTGCTCAGACAAGTGAAAGAATGCTCGTCAAATACTAATCCCATGACCTAGCATCAGTAGCTTGTGGCAATCACGAAGGTAAACCCAACTCCGTTGGTAATATTGGATTATGACCATATAGGAGTTTTTATGGTGAAGCACCAATAGAACTCTACACCCCTGTGACATATGCATATCGAAGAGAAGGTAAATAACCATCCCAATCCGAATGCTGAAAATTCACATACTTCGTGATCATCCCTTTAAACATCCGAATAAGTCATTTCACCAAACCATCTGACTGTGGATGATAAGCATTAGTAAAAGTGTGGCATATCTCCAACCGAGACATTAAAACATAAAATGCCTCAGCCATAAATGCGGGACCATTATCTGAAAGAATCCGCTTTGGACAAGAATGTTGGAACACCACTTGATTGAGGAGGAAGTATCCAACAGCAGTTGCAAAGGCGTTAGCAAGAGCACCAACTTCCACCCAACAAGTCAAGTAATCAGAAACAATAATAATATACTCATTACCAGCAGTCAATCATGGAAAAGGTCCCATAAGATCAAAGGCCACCAACTCAAACGGACGGGAAACTGCAATCGACTCTAACCATCTTTCTGCGGCACGCGGGGGAGTATTATAAGCTTGGCACCAAACGTAGCTACACATATACCGAATAATATCATGTTGCATCTTTAGCCAATAAAAAGACCTGCGCAGCTTCTCAGTCACACGACGATGTCCTATATGCCCACTTAGAATAGGAGATTCATGGTAATCATGGAGAAACCGGAGAATAAAGATAGAAGGCACGACCAGCCGTAAATGATCATTAGGATCCGTCCCCACAAAATAAAGAAGGTTGTCTTCAAGGTGATATTGAGAATGTAAATGCCGAAAAGATAAGTCATTAGCAAATGATGCAGGATTCTCAAACCCATCTTGAAGCCTTCGAATCCACGCCTCAACCTTTTGAGCCTCGCAAACCTCATCAAGAGAAGGTAGATCTTTCTTTGCGCCTTGTGGACACTAAACGTCAAGTACGGCAACTACTGTTAACACAAAATTCTCGTCTAGAAAATCTACAAATGCTGGAACAATAGGCTCATTAGAAACATGAGAAGAGAGTGCAAAAGGAAGAGGAGCTCGAAAAAGGGCATCAACATCAGTAATAGAACTCCATGGGCAATGAACCACATCAAAATCATATATCTAAAGCTTCAAAGCCCATCAAGCAGTATGACCAACTAGGTTCTTCCGCTTCAATAATGAAGTAACAGTAGCATGGTCACCTTCAAATAATGTCCGAGAACCATGTAGATATGCATGAAGTTTCTCGAAACCCTAAATTACTGCTAAACACTCCTTCTTTGTCGTGAAGTAATTCATCTCCGCTAGTTGTAATGTACGGCATATATACGCAATGGGATGGCACTGACCAGGCACACTCGAGCTCTCTTGCATCAACACAACTCCAAGACCAATGTTAGAAGCATCCACGTGCAAAATAAAAGGTCGAGTGTAGTTAGGATATGCCAAAACCAGAGGAGTTGTCAACAGCTCTTTGAGATCCCTGAACGCCCGCTCACAATCTGGAGACCAGATGAAAGATGATGTTGATGACTTCAACAACACTCACAATGGTGCAATGTGATCAAAAAGATGATCCACAAAACAATCAAGATACTGCACGTTGCCCAACAAGAAGCGTTGCACATCATTCACACACTTCGCAGTAGGGAACTTTAGAATAGCCACAAGTTTGTCAAGATCAACTTCCAAACTCTCACGAGAAATACGGTACCCAAGATAAGTTGTGTCTTTGGACCCAAACACGCACTTCGACCGCTTCAGCTTTAAACCAATATCACGTAGCCGATCTAACACTTTACAAACATCACAAATGTGCTCCTCCCACGTCCTCTCCGAGTGGATCAAGACATCATTAATGAAGTCAGTAATCACCTCTGGTATATCGCAAAGAACCTCGTCCATCATCTGCTGGAAAGTCGTTGGAGCATTGTTCAAACCAAATGGCATCACCAAGAACTTGTACAAACCAAATGGTGTACAAAAAGCAGTCTTAGGAATATCTTCTTCAGCCATCGGTACTTGCTAGTACCCAGAACCAAGATTTAGCTCAATGAACCAACGACTTTGCCCCAGACGATCCAAAAGATCAGCAGTGTGAGGAAGAGGGTACACATCCGGGATCGTCACTTCATTTAACAGACAATAGTCAATGCAAAAATAAATACTCCCATCAGGCTTCGTCACAAGATGAGGTTCACATGCCCAAGGACTCCATGACTTTCGAATAACACCCTTCTCCAACATCTCCTTGACGTTTGCACGTAAAACCTTGATCTCCTTGGGTGACTGATGACGAACAGGAACCTTGATTGGACGAGCATCCCCGGTTGGAATCGGATGATGTGTGGCAATCTTGGCCCCGGACGATAGGTCAAATTCAAAGAGATCAGAATACTCCTTCATGAGCCAGTCAACCGCTACAACACAAAGATCGTCGGAGGGATCGGAAAAGGGAAGAGCAAAACAAGATGGAAACACAGAAGGAAATAGTGGGGGAACAAAAGTAATGGAAGCAAAGGTAGAAGTAAAGGGACGAAGAGGTACAAAAGTGAGAGGAATGGATGAAACATAAGGAAGTATGAGATAAGGGGGAGAAGCCTCAAAGTCACACTTAGCATGATTGTGCTGCAACCAATCCATACCAAAAATGAGGTCAAAAGCTTGACTCGGCACCACTTGCAATAACTGCAACTCAAGCTTGAGATCACCCACACGCACAACTAGGTCTGCCTCATCCTGTGCACATGCATGTGTACGGCCGTTGCCATAAAGAATGAAAACCAGATCCGCTGCACGACGCAAGTGTAGACGACAACGTGTGGCAACAGGTCTAGCAATAGAAGATAAACTCTAACCTGTATCAACTAACACAGAGAGAATAATAGAAGACCTTTTGTTATAAAAACGAGCTTGGAAAGTAAACACTGGATGAATCGGTGCCAAAGGAACCCCTTGATGATACTCCCGAAAGAAAGATGGAGGGGTCATTAACTTATTCGCGCAAGGTCCCTCCATTACTCGTGTGACTCCTCATTTCCCGGATGCACCTCGGTGTCCAAACCTTCCACTGCAGTAGCACCAAGGGGACGTTGCTGACGCCAAGGTCTCCACCCAGGAAATGGAGGTCACCAATTCGGAAAGCGCAAACAACACTGATAAGTATGACTAACTTCATCACACGCCCTGCAACGAACATCATGGCCACGACCACGTCCTCGCCCTTGTCCTTGGACTCGAGTAGCAGTAGCATCAACCTCCATTGGAACAGGACCATCACCCATAGGAAGTGGAGCTGAAGAACGTGCAACGAGAAGTGGAAGAGGCGACGTCTCATAACATTGTGCCAAGCAAAGAGCATCGTCAAGAGTGGCAGGAGCAAGTGCATGCACAAGTCCGACAAGATCTTGACGAAGTGTTGGCCACAACATTCCTAGCTTGATCCGCTCCGACATATTAGGCTTCGCACGAAGCAAAAGACTTCGGAAACGAACGCTAAGTTGCATCACTAACTCTGATGGCCCTTGGCGAAGACGATGCAATTGTTGGAAAGCATCATCACAATCATCGACATGTCCAAAGGCGCGTTTGAAAACATCCGGAAGAACACTCCAATCCCCACAAGTGGCTGCGCTCAATCCATTGTACCACTACAACGCCGTCTCTTGGAGACACGTAGGGAACTCACGCAAACGTCAAGCATCATCCTAAGAATGATATGTGGCAATCACTGTGAAGTGATCGAACCAATGGTACACATCATCCCCAGGATTCCCACGAAAGAACTCCGGCCAAACGCGAGGATTGGCACCAAGAGCAGAAGAAGTTGGACCACGTGCCATGAATGCCGCCATCAATTGAGTTTGGTTGGTCAATTGCAAGCGCATAGCATTAAGCAATTGAACCAACTGCTACTCTAAAAGTCAAAGGAGGACATTGCTGATCTGCCATAAAGATGAACAAAAAAGAAAGAGCAAAAGAAGAGAAATGACAAAAAGCTGGAAAGAAATAGTAGATCTAGACAATGCAAAAAGCTAGATCTAAACCAAAATCTTAAAAGGAAAAAACAAAAGAAAGGAAATGGAAAATGCTAAATCTAAATGATGCAAAAGCTAAATTTAAACTAAAATCCCAAATCCAAACACTCCCCCTAGGGACAATCAAAGGTGCCCCTCATTTCCATCAATGTGAGTGCATGGAATATGGAAAGGGAATACAGAAATGTGCATATCCATTAGCCCAAAAACTTTAGCTTATATATAGGAGCAAGTGGTCTGGATTGAAACCAATCTGACGGCTACCAAAATCCCACTACGCTAATATTAGTATACGGCATCGTAGCCATACATTTGGCCCTCACACAACTAAAATTTTTAATCTTTTAGTTTTAAAAGTTAAAACATTTTAATTTTCAATTTATTTTTCACTGTATATAACAAGTAAAAGATTAAAAGTTTTAGTTGTTAGGTAGAGTAAAAAATTTTGAAAATTGAAATTTTAAAACTTTAAAAATCAATTCTTGATTTTGAAATTGTAAATCAATGAAAAATAAATAAATTTTCTGAGAAAAAATTAAAAGGTAACTAATTTCTTTTACAAAAAATTAGCTACATTAAAACTTAGTCTTATGTTTTGAACAGTGTTATATATTATTGTAATTCTAGTTCATTAGATTTTTAAAATGATATTATTTATCTTAGTCAGTTTATCTTTTATAAGGATATATTAAGAATATTCATTACCAGTTTATTTAAACATGTTTAAAGAAAACTCTACGCTATACACTTGTGTCATGTTGGGATAGAAGAGGCCAAAGTTGCGCTCTGCTGTGCTCCCCTGCTTCAAATCCTCGTTGAACAGCGCAAAGATGTATGATTCAATGGAAACTTGTGGATGCAATGGCGTTCCTAGTCCCTGCTGCTGCCTACGTACGAGATTTTGCACGAATTTCCTCGCATTCTCCATCCCAGCCCCGAAATTCCTCTCGTCGCCTGCCGATGGCCACCCAGTCTCGCCAACAATGACACGAACCTCGCCGTTGCCATAGCCCAGCCTGCCCATCGCGGCATAGATTGTGTCCACCTGGGCGTCGAGCATCGTCGGGTAGTGCAATCCAGTGATCCAATCCGTGGTCCCAGATGAGTTGGGGTCGAGAAGCGCAAACTCCAGATCGATATGCTCCCCCTTGTCGTCCCTGTACGCGAAATAGGGGTAAGCATCGATCAGGAACGGGGAGGAGGTCTCCGCCAGGAAGTCCAAGAGGGGCTTCATCGTCTCCTCCATGCCGGGGCGGAATATACCAGCCGAGGGCGGGAAAGAGCGCGAGAAATCCAGGACGTCCATCGCGTGGCTCGTTGTCAGCTTGATTCTGGAATCCAGGCCCCTGGTGACTAGGGTTTTGTGGAGATTTCGCATTGCCGGGACGAGCTGGGGCGCCAGCGCTGGATCTGCGCGGGTGAGTACCTCGTTGCCGAGCAGGATCATCTCAATGCTTGCGTTAGCCGCCAGGTGAGGGAGAATCGCAGAGGCGAGCCAGCTATCGGCTTGTTCTTGGCTCGAGGCCAGCTGCCAGATTACTTCGTTGTACATCGATACGGCGATCTGGATTCCAGTGCTGGCGAAGGCGGAGATCACCGATGGATCAGCGTCGTAGAGCTTTACCTTCGTGATCCCGTGCTGGATCAGGAGCTGTGCTGCCTGGGCTGGGGATGGGAGATTATCGCTCATTCTTCCGTAGTTGACGCCGATGCTGCTGGTGGAGGACGCTGGAATGGAGGAGCGCTTTAGAGAATCTCAAGGTGGTACGTTCTTTCGATTCATACCTTTGAGGGAGAGATTGACGATTATGAGCAGGACGAGAGCGAGGATCCATTCCCTTGGGGCGGCCATTTTCCTTGCTCGGAGAGAGGGAAAGTGCTCGAACATATATGAAGCTCCCGGCCCCCCAACGGTCCTCCACTTAGCGAGCATTAACAAAAGTAACAGCAGAGGTATATACTCTTGGCGTGACTTAGAAATTTAGGCAGCGAATCCATGCTAGCTTTAATGTGTTTGCTCTCTTTTCAGCTTCTCAAAACGAATAGATTGTTCGAAGATTACCTTAGACGTTCGTCCAGGAACTATTTCCCGAGTACAACACAGTACGTTTTGTAAGCCTGGGTCAAATTGATCCGTGCCTAAGCTCTTTATGTTTCAGATGGCCTAAGCTGCAGCCTGAAGATGACTTCTAATGTATCGGCTCACCTGTCGGACGAGGGTTTACAAGCAAAAACTATCATCAAGATGTTCCAGTTCCTTGCCTTTTGCGAAGGCTCCCGAAGACCAGAAGGTGGCAGTGGATGCCTGCAGTCTGATGGCTGCCCTGAAAGCATGCGGCCGCTCGAAGGACATAAAAGGTGGCCAGGAAATTCATGCAACTGTTTTGAAGAGCGGCCTCTTTCCGTGGAATACATCACTGGGGAACTCATTGGTGAACATGTATGCGAAATGTGGGAACATGCCGGAAGCTCACAAGGTGTTTCACCAGATGCCGGTTCACAGTGTCGTATCGTGGAACACGCTCATAGCTGGCTACGCAGTCAATGGAGAGTGTGAAGTTGCTCTCCAGCTCTTTGAAGATATGAGACGAGAAGGCAGCGAACCAAACGCTCGAACGTATCTTCCTGCACTGATGGCCTGTTCCAGCTGGGCGACAAAGGAAGAAGCCATGGAAGTCGGTGGGAAGCTTGTGAAGATGGGATGCTTACAGAAGGGAATGGCGATTCACTCTCAAGCTCTATCAAATAACTATCGCTCGGACGTCTTCATTGGAAGTATGCTCGTTACTACGTACGCGAAGTGTGGCAGCATGGTGGACGCTCGTATGGCCTTCGACAAGATGCCGTCACCTGATCTTGTAGCATGGAATGCACTGCTACAAGGATATGTGGATAACGGGGAGAGCGAGCTAGCGTTGGATTTATTTTCTGTCATGGCATCACTGGAACTGGAAGCAGATACTCGAACTTTTGTCGCTGCGCTCATGGCTTGTGGTAACTTGGCAGACAAAGAAGAAGGGAAGAGACTTAACGGGAAGCTTGTCAAGGCTGGAAGCATGGAGAGAGGAAAAGAGGTACACGTCCAGGCTTCAACTAGTGGTTGTTGCTCAAACTTGTTCGTTTCATGCAGCTTGATCGACATGTACGTCAAGTGTGGCAGCTTGAAGGATGCCTTTGCGGTCTTTGAGAGCATGCCTCGTCACGACGTTGTGTCCTGGACCGCGCTGATCTTGGGGTATGCGGAGAGTAACGAGGCTGAAGTGGCTTTGGAACTTTTTGAGCGGATGAAGGACGAAGGCTGCTTGCCAGATTCTCGTACTTTCGTTGCAGTGATGGTGGCTTGTGGGAATCTTGCTGGGCACCAGAACAACCAACAGGTCATGCTTGAAGTTGGGAGAAAGTTACATACAGAGGCTGCAAAGCAGGGATTCAGCTCGCACTTACGGGTCGCGAACACGATGGTGGACATGTATGCAAAGTGTGGGAGCCTGGAAGACTCTCGCAGAGTTTTCGAGCAGATGGCTCAACGAGATGTGGTCTCGTGGAATGTTATCATTCTGGGGTGCTTGGTAAACGGAGACGCAGAGATGGCCTGGAAGCTGTTTGAGCGTATGCAAGGCGAAGGCTGTACACCGAATGGTGGCACCTTTGTAGCAGCAGCAATGGCTTGTGGTCGACTAGCAGGAAAAGTGGAAGGGGAGAGAATCAACGGAAGGGTGGTGAAAGTAGAGTGGCTACAGAAGGCAACGGATATATACTCACAGGCCAAGAAAGGTGGATTCGATGTGCATGTGTTCGTTGCCAGCGCACTGGTGGAGATGTTTGGAAAGTGTGGAAGCATGATCAGCGCGCGAGCAGTTTTCGAGAAGATGACCTTTCACGACTTAGTGGCTTGGAATGGGCTGATCGTAGGCTATGCAGGGAATGGTGAGGCGGAGCTGGCTCTTGCAGCGTACCAGCAAATGCGGGAGGAAGGTCGGTTTGTGCCAAACAGCCGGACTTGTGTCGCTCTGCTCATGGCCTGTGGAGAGCTGGCGGCTCTTGAAGAAGGGACAGCAATTTACGCAGAGATTTGCAGGAACGGACTCGAGGACGAAGAGTTTGTTGCTACTGGTCTAGTGGACTTCTACGGGAAGTGCGGCAGCACCAGCAAAGCTCGTCGAGCTTTCGATTCGATGAAGAACACGGACTCGGTGACTTGGAGCGCTCTCTTGGCTGGATACAGTTCTGCTGGTGATACGGAGCAGGCTCTACAGTTTTTTCAGGAGATGGTGGCCAAAGAAGATGGTGGTGTCGATGGAGTCGCATTGCTGTGCGTCCTGAGTGCCTGCAGCCGCGCTGGTCTTGTGGAGAAAGGAAAAAGGCTGTTCCGAAGGATGGCATCTGGGGAGTTTGGCATTCAACCTGGGATCGAGCACTATCATTGTTTCATCGACATGCTGGGACGAGCTAATATGGTACAGGATGCTACAGAAGCTGCGAAGAGAATGCCTTTTCCTGCAACTGCCGTTACTTGGACGACCATCTTAGGCGCTTGCTTGAAGTGGAAAGATCTGGAAATGGGGAAGGTTGCGTTTGACAAGTTTTTGGAGACTGATACTCAGCATCCGGCAGCATACTCTTTGATGGCGAATCTGTACGGCAGTGCTGGGATGTGGCAAGAGCAAAAGAAAGTTTTGGAGCTGACGAGGAGACGACATTGCTAGAAGACGGTCGTACAAGCTGCTTTCTGTCGTGAATGCCGCGAAGAACAGCAAAACCTCGGCTCTTCCATGTAACTTTGCCCGATTCGGTGCAGCTGATCTCCGGCACGTACGCAACTCAACACAAAATGACGACGAAGTAAACAGGTAGCATTTTGATTGTAGTTGATATCTGAATTTATCAAATCAAATATGACAGGAGGTGAGCACCTCAACTTGAAGTCTAGGAGAACCCACTGCTTCAAGCGGCGTCTTCAACCAGATGACGGCACCAGCAGCTTCCTCGAGCGCATTCTGCCCGCTAGCTTTCCAGTCGAAGCCGTGGATCAAGTTTGCCAGAGCCAGCTGAACAGTTTTAAGTCCGAGGCCCATTCCCGGACAAGCTCTTCGTCCGGAGCCGAACGGAAGCAGCTCAAAATCCTGACCTTTGACGTCCATGGAACTGCCAAGGAATCTCTCCGGGCGAAACTCGAGGGGCTTGTCCCACAGTGCTGGATCTCGTCCGATGGCGTAAGCGTTGACGATGGTCGTGGCTCCTTTTGGAACGTGATAGCCATCTAGACTGGCCTCGTGCATCGACATGTGAGGCACAAGCAGTGGAACAGGGACATGGAGTCGAAATGCTTCCTTGATAATGGCTTGGAGATAAGGCAAGCGTGGAAGATCGGCCTCGTCCACCATCCGGGAGCGTCCAACAACGGAGTCGAGCTCCTCATGAGCTTTGGTCAAGACGTGTGGAGCACGGTGGAGGATCTCTCCGAAGGTCCACTCGACAGTAGTTGCTGATGTTTCTGTTCCGGCTGACACAAGCTCCTGCAAGTAAGTTTAATAAGTTCCTGGTTTTGAGACTAAAATATTGCCTTCGGCTTACTGTCATTGCAGCTTTGATCATGTCGTCGCCTTTGGGATCCCCATTTAAAAGCTCTAGCATGAGGTTTATGAAGTCTTTCTTTGAGGATTTGTTTTTCTCGTACTTATGTTCATCGACAATCTTTTGCAGAAACTTGTCCTGGTCAGCGTGCAGCCTCCTCATGTGATAAACGCTCAAGTCCATCCACCTGAGATAGGCTGGAACAAACTCGCTGATGTGAAACTGCAGGGAGATCTCTGTGATCTCGCTCAAGACGGCCTTGAAAACACTAGCTTCGCTGGAATCAATGCCTTGCAACTCCTCTCCTTGGTGCTGGAAGTACCTCTTGTTCATCAAGATCCGGGTGATGGTGTTGAAGGTAAAACATGTCAAGAGGTTCCTCATGTTTACGGCCTGATTCTTTTCGTGTGCATACAACACCGCTGACAGCATGTGAGAGAGCTCCTCCAAGCGCAGCGAGAGGAAAGAATCAATCCTTTTAGCGGTGAAGAGCTCCAAAGTGTAGAGTTTCCGCAACTTCTTCCAGTGATCACCGTAACCTGCGAGGGACATCCCCATGAAGTGGTAGCCAACATCCTCTCCGACAAGAAAGTAAGGCCTGGAAGCAAATGTCAAATCCTGATTCTTGAGTACTTCTTTTGCCAGATCAACGCTAGAAACCACCACAGCAGGGATAATCCCAAGTCGCAGGAAGAGAATGGAGCCGTGCTTCTTGGCCAGTGCTTGGAGGGATTGGTGAGGCATTCTTCCCAGGAGATGGAGGTGGCCGATTAGTGGTAGTCCGACAGATGGTGATGGTGGTAACCGCGACCGCCGAAAAAGGCCTCGAAGAATCGGGAGCAAGATCGCGAGGAGCACAATGAAAGCGGTGACAAGGTCCATCGAATGGAAGCAAAGGAGGGAATTTGGACGGAGGTCCCGGGATGGCAATTATATTTGGGAAGGCAGGCCGATCGCATTTTGGAAAGGCATTGCAAGACAAACATCAAACATCCATATCGAGTGGGCCACGATTCTATAAAGGTGACATCGCAATTGACACCAATGACTTTCGTGCAGAGGACAAGCTGTTATATGACACAGTTTGAGCATGGCATTTGCGCAGCGTCCAAGGTAGGAATCGCGAAACATTTACAGCATAGCTCTGGGCTCTATGTTTCAGGTGAAAGAGGCGCTTCTTTTTCCCTCGGTGATCTCCAAGACTGTTGCTTACGGAACGTTTTTCTTTCACGTTCCTTTATAACGAGAAGGATTTTAAAGATAGACTGGTCGGTTGATTTGCATCGCTGATTGTGTTCGTGCTGACAACATCCTTAGGTCATTTCAGAGTGGTACACCTGCATTGAATGTTAATCACTTTTGCCTAGATTACTACTGAATGCTGAGAAAATGAAGCCATACAATGCTCGGAGGAGATGGAAGTGGCCAATTAGTGGGCCATGGTGGCAAGGACTTTCTCGTGTAGAAAGTAGTGAACTTGCAAAGAGAAGAAACAGATCCAACGTTAGGTGGTCTTGATTCCAAAGACTTCACACTGGAGAACGCTGTAAAGTAACTTTTTTTTATTTTTCCTTTCCGTTTTGACGGTGGCAAGGATCTTGACTACCCGAGCCTGGCAAAGAAGAAATTACGAGGCCCGCAACCTCAAGAACACCTGCACATCGAGGATGACAGACAGCGGCGGGATCATCTTGTTGGTGGAGATGATCGCGTAGCCCGCGGCGGATCTAAACGCGCCGGTGCCACCGATGACGGCGATCTCGCGCTCCCGGTCCAGAACATTGTCCTGCCCGTGCAAGCTGATGGTCCCGTTGTTGAGCACCGCCGTGAATGTGATGAAGAGGCCCAGGCTGGAGATGGAGGCCGAGTCGCTCATGTAGAAGCCCTGTGCTCGGCCGACGAGGGGCGAGTCCGGGGATGGCCCCTCGGTGAGCTTGTCGTCGATCACCATCACGGATCCCAGCGATGCCAATGTGGCGAGGTTGTTCTTTGGGCCGGCGACGAGCGCGGTGGTGGCGTTGGCTGGGTTCTGGAGATTTACCATGTCGTGCATGAAGAAGTGGAGCCTGGTGGTGCTGGATCCATCGCGCTCCACTCCTGCTGCGCAGATCAAGCAAGAGAAACAAGAGATTGTCGCTGCTGCTGCCAGAGCGCCATGGATGCTGAGGCGCAGCATTGAAGATCAAAATCAGTTAAAGCGCTCTCTCTCTCTCTCTCTAGACTCTCTCTAAACTCTCTAGGCTCTCTCTAGACTCTCTTTTTCTTTTGTTCTATGAGTACACTCTCTTTTAGTTATTTTATAGGTAGGCTCAGTGCGCTGGTAGAGTCTGTGAGTTGATTAGAAGTTGATCCAAGTCATTCTCCATTGGCAACTTTCAGTCATGATCAGTCAGTCCACTCAGGAATTTCTATAACACTTTGTTTGACAAAACTAGATCGAGAATCTAGGGCAGAATATGCTTGTGCTCGGTTCCACCCTGTTTTTGGAATTCCCGGGTAGGCACCACCAAGAGCTTCAGGAGAGTCGGCCAACGAGCCTCTCTGCGAGGCACAGGTTTTCCAAAGATCACATCCAAGACGGCGATCCAGAGGGGCGGAACAGGTTGAGGCAGGCGATCGAGGATCTTGCCCGAAATCCTGGCCTGGCCAGCGAGCGCGGGCTTTTCTCCGACCTGCTCAAGGAATGCGGCAATGCGGCGGCGATCGCGGAGGGCCGGCGCGTCCACTCGATCGCGGCGAGCTGCGGCCTGGACAGGGATCGGTACGTGGGCAGCTTCTTGATCCAGATGTATGGCAGATGCGGCAGCGTCGTCGACGCGCGAGCGGTCTTCGACAATCTCCTCGCCCAGAATCTCTTCTCCTGGACCATCCTGATCGGCGCCTACGCGCAGAATGGCTGCGGCAGCGAGGCCATCGCCGCGTTCCGGGCCATGGACTGCGAGGGCATCCATCCGGACGAGATCACGCTTCTCAATGTCCTCGGCGCCTGCTCGATCTCTGGAAATCTCGGGGCTGGCAAGCTGCTCCACGCAAGGATCTCGTCCCAGGGCTACGACCGGGATCACGTCATCGTCTCGGCGCTGATCAACATGTATGGCAAGTGCAAGCGGCTCGATCAAGCGCGAGAGCTTTTCACAAAGGCGAACAAGAGAGATCCGGTGGCCTGGAACTCGATGATCGCGGCATATGCCCAAAACGGGCATCCAGCCCAGGCGGTGGAGCTCTACACAGAGATGGAGACCCAAGGCGTGGAGAGGAACAAGGTGACGTATGTGACAGTGCTCAGTGGTTTGACCACTCCAGGATCGCTGGAAGAGGGGAGAAGAGTCCACTCTCGAGTTGCGGGTGCCGGTTTGGAGGGCGATGTGATCGTCGGCACTGCGCTGGTGAACATGTATGGCAAATGCCAGAGCGTGGAGGAGGCCCGAGCAGCGTTTGAGAAGATCTCTCGGCCCAACGTCGTGTCCTGGAGTGCGATGCTTGCCGCGTATGCCCAGAACGGACATGCGAGGATGGCGCTGGAGCTCTACCGGGAGATGGGCTCCGCGAGGAAGGGGATGACTCCAAACCGGGTGACGTTCATCACCCTGCTCGATGCTTGCTCGTTTCTGGGAGCTCTCGCGGAAGGGAGGAAGATCCACGCCGCCGTCGCCGAGAGGGGCTTTGACACGGACTTGGTCGTGAGCAATGCCCTGGTGAACTTCTACGGGAGGTGTGGCGCACTGGGCGATGCCAAGATCGTGTTTGACGGCATGAGGAGGAGGGACGTGATCTCGTGGTCGTCGATGATCTCGGCTTTTGCTCAGCGCGGTCGCGTGGACGAGGCGATGGAGCTTTACCACCGGATGCTTAGCGAAGGAACTCTCCCCGACGACATCATCTTCATCAGCGTTCTCTTCGCGTGCAGCAACTCGGGGGTGGTGGAGGCCTCGGGGGATTTCTTTCGGTCGATTGTTGGAGACACTCAGGTTGAGCCGACGCTGGAGCACTACGCGTGCATGGTGGACGTTCTTGGCCGGGCTGGGAAGCTCCGCGATGCCGAGGATTTGCTCCGGCTCATGCCATTCCATCCGGGGCCGCTGCTCTACATGACGATGCTCAGCGCTTGCAAGCTCTACACGGATGTGGAGAGAGGAGAGGCCGCTGCCGAGGTGGTCTTCGAGCTCGACCCCGAGAATTCGTCTCCATACATCACGCTTGCCAACATCTACTCGGCGGCTAAACGGCCCAAGGACGCGGCCAGGATCCGGAAGCTTATGGAGGAGCGGGGAATAAAAAAGAAGCCTGGATGCAGTTGGATAGAGGTCTTGGATCGAGTGCACGAGTTCATTGCCGGAGACAAGATGCATCCGCAGAGAGACGAAATTTACGCGGAGATCCAGCGGCTGGGCAGGCAAATGAAGGAAGCAGGGTACTTCCAAGACACCAAAGTGGTGCTCCAGGATGTCGAGGAGGACGAGAAGGAGAACTTGCTTTGGTACCACAGCGAGAAGCTGGCTATTGCATTTGGGCTCATTAGCACCCCTCCAGGCGCTCCGCTGCGGATCGTCAAAAACTTGCGGGTGTGCTCGGACTGCCATGCCGCTACCAAGGTCATCTCCAAGGTCACTGGGCGAGAGATCTTGGTCCGGGACACAAACCGGTTCCATCACTTTCAGAATGGCATGTGTTCGTGTAACGATTATTGGTGATATATAGGAAACAAAATCTAGACTGTAAATGAGAAACATGCAAATACATTAATTTCTAAAGCTAGATTGAATCGGTGAACCAAAAAAAGTCATTTTGAAAATGGTGCTGCCTACCTTCCCATGACCACTTGGTCTCTAGGTAGCTCTTGACCTTCTTTTTCCTTTTATTTTTTCTCTCCACAAGAAAACTCAAACAAATGAGAAGTAAAATTCTTAAACTTCTACACTACCAACTTTATGGCTTCCATTCATAAGATCCATTGTGGCAGCTAAAGTAAACAATGGAAGAGTAAGATCAACAGTTCCAACTTAGAGGATAGAAGCTAAGCTAGTTTTGCATAGTAGAAGGCTATGATATCATTGTGTAAAATCTTTAAGGACTACAACGTAAAATCATATATTTGCAAAATGAATTGGGAGTTTCATTTTTTAACTAATAATTGCCCAGGTGATGCTGGGTAGTTCATGTCATTTCTAGAGGTTTGTTGAGGTTATGTTTGCTATTTGATCAACTTTGCAATTGAAGGATCTTTTAACTAAGACTTTCATTGGGATCACTATTTCTAGATCACCTGGAATTTACTCAATTTGTTATTGCTGGCTGCCATAGAGGTCCTAAATTAAGCAGCTGATTAAAGTAATCTAGCTGATTAAAGTAAGAAAGTGGAAGGTCGACAATGATCCCAAGTGAATCACAGCCAGCTCTACTTTTTTTGCATTCAGTACATGTATTTATGTGGACAATTTTACAAGCATCTCACTATCACTTTGTTTGGAGCTTGGGTTTGCATATATAGAAAATCAAATTATCTAGCCATTTCCTAAGAGATTGAAGAAACATGAACTTTAAGTCTTGGAATTACTTCAAGTGTGAACTTGAGCCATGGCCTAGAGATTCCACCAAAGATCCATCCCAAAAACATTTTGGATGCCATCACACTCTAGTGATCTTGAGGCTAAGAAGAATAGTTAGTGAGCCATTGCATGTCGACCTTGAGCTAAACTAGCTTTTGGAGTGGCCTTTTGATGAGCTTGAGCATTGTAGGGAACTAAGAAACATTATCAGCTTAATTGATTTCACATCACTTATTTTCTCAAGCATAGATATCAACACATTGATTTTGGTGCTCACCTTCACTCTTTCACCCATGATGCTGCTACACACGTCTAGAGAATGCTCTAGAATCCTGTGAGAGTGCAATAAAGGGATTAAGGGGCTAAGAATCATGGCACTCTAGAAGCAATTCAACAAAAAAATTGATGTAATGTATGCAGTTTTTACCCTTTACTCTATAGTATATTATTGTAGGACAACCATAGAGAAAAACCTAACCCTTGGACACAAGTGCAAAGGGTAATAGAGCAAGACACTAATTTCAATGCTTTAGGCTATTAACTAAAGGGTTAAAGTGTATATCTAAGGAGTGAAGAAAAAAAAGTAGACACAACACTAGAATACTCTTAGAGCTTTTAGCATTTTAATGCTAAGATTAACATGTAAAATAGAGTCTAGCACTACTTCAATATATTGATGGCTTAACATGAAGATATAAGTATTCAACCAGCTAGTATAGTATTAAACTTGGAGCTAAAACCTAAGTCAGATGCAAAACAAAAATAGATATACCCAATGAAGAGCCAAACATCTTAAATTGGTTGGCATATTCAATTCACCCATTTATATTTGAACACCCCCCCCCATAAAGCATGATTTAAATCCCATAAGATAGTCTCTAGGATAAAGTTCAACAAGGGCATGATAGTGAGGGTGTCTGGTGGACATGATAAGGTATCATACAGTGAATTTTGAAAAACTAACTTAATATCATAAAGGTTCTCAATACTAGTAAGTGCAAGCTAGCAAATGAATTTCTCTAATCATGTTAAGTATATTTAACTAATAGCACTAAGGAATTCCATTCTTATACTCTTTTGGTCAAATATACACATAAAGACTAGTTTCTCAACTAGCTTGAGTAAAGATTGATAAAAAGAACTAACAATACTAACCTCCTACTATCATAGTAGTAAGAGAAAAACTTCTAAAAGATAATTATTAATACCTGCAATTACATTTGTAATAGAAGAGTTGCATACTTAACATCTACAATTGGGCATTTTACACATCGAAATCATAATATCATTCCTTCCATTCCAATACTAGAGCTTTAGAGAAGAAGGTGTAACATAAATCACCATTCTCAAGTGACTGAAAAAACCACACATGAATCAACTTCTGCAAATCTAACTTTCAGTTCTCATAAAAGAATGAAACTTTCTTGCTAGGAAGAGAGCATGGAGATGAGAAGGAGAATAAACTATCAGTGTTACAACTCTTTTAATTGATCAATGCCTCTCATTTATAACTTTATTCATTTCAATAGTATTATTCCTTTCACAATCAATTACACAATTAATATGGGTGGCTCTTTAAAATTTTCATATATCTCTAGATTCTAAATGGTTGTATATTTTGTTAAAATATAACTTGTTCTTTACAAGGATATAACCAATTAAAACTCACAATATAGAAAAATATTTTTGTTCTTTTTTGTTAATTTCTCCCTAAATTTTACCTTAAATGCTCAAAAAAGGAGAAGATATGAGAGAATTTTACTTAAAGATTGATTAAGAGCCTTTATTATTCTCTCTAAGAGTGTTATAAAAGAGAACTTCTTTTGTAACAGATTTAAGCTGAAATTGGGATCAATTAGTTTAGAAAAAGAAAAATCCATCCTTCTCGACAATGATATGGATTCAATGGGATTTTAATAAATGTACAAGTCAAGAGATTTTAGTTACAAGATTTTTGAAGAAAGGAGAGGAGAGCCCTATGTCATAGCCAATTATGGAGTGAAGGAGGAAGTTGTTATTCTTTCCAGTGACGAAAATGAAGAAGATGAATTTTCAAATATAATAAATATAACTTCCCAAACAAGAAGGTGTGTTTCTTTTGGACTAATTTTTGAAGTATCAAATAAGGCATTTTTGCTAAATCATTATGGTTAGAATTAAAGGAATTTGAGTACATGAGAGGTGAGGAACTTCTGTTTTCCTACAATAAGAATATATTCTTTGAATTTCCACTAGCCAATTCATCAAATAGGAAGAGGGGTATGGAGATGCATCTTAATCCATATAATTAGTGTAGCATTTCAACAAATCTATATCTTTAATACATTGTGGTGGATAACTTAAGTGTGTAATTAAGAAATACATTTTTGATAGCAAGAATATATATTTCTTTGAAGGCTCAACAATAAATCCCTCAATCTGAATCAACACCAGTTTAAGGCTTCTTCTTTGTTTTCACTAGCTTTTTCTCTTTGTCTTTAGCATTTTCCAGTCTTGATCTTGTTGGGGGTCTTGACAATTTGATTTAGATTGTGGTTTTTGCTTTTCTTTTAGCTCGCTTTGATTCTTTGATTGCCTTTGTCTTTTTCCCCCTTTCTTTTCTTTCTTCTTGCCAATGGAGTCTCCAAGCCATCCTGATTTCTTTGCCGAAGTCCTTGCAAAAATCCAGTCTGAGAATACCGAGCTGAAGGCGACCCTTCTTCGCATGCAGCAGGAGCTTGCTTCACTTTCGGCTCAAGGATCCAACAAAGTTCCTGAACCGAAGGTGAGTTTCCCGGCGAAATTCTCAGACAAGCGTTCGGAGCTTCGTGGATTTTTGAACCAAATGGAGCTGATCTTTGCACTTCAACATCGGCGGTACCCCACTCCCGAATCTCAAATCGGCGCAATTGGGACGTTGCTCGAGGGTGCAGCCTTGTCATGGTTTTCTCCTCTTCTGGAGAAGAGCATGAAAGGGGTCGTGGTTCCGGAGCTAATGGATCTTCAATTGTTCAAAGAGAAGCTCGAAGCATGTTTTGGCGAGACGGATCGGGTTCGGGCTGCTACCACAAAAATGAGACGTCTCTCTCAGGGGTCTCATCCTACCTCGATTTACGCTACAGAATTCCAACTCCTTGCTTTGGACACTCAGTGGGATGAGCGGGCCCTGATTGACCAATTTCGTTTCGGCCTCAACAACGGTGTCAAGGATTTGTTGCTCACCATGGAGGATCCCAAGGACCTGTCGGATGCCATCAACAAAGCTGTTCGATGTGACAATCGTCTCTTTGAATGTCGTCAGGAAAGTCGCCGTGCCGCTGTTTTTCCGTCCCAGACTCAGGAATCCCAGCTTGAGTCTTCGGGGCATACTCCTGAACCTACTGCTCCGGTTCCGATGGATATTTCTGGTACTCCCCGACTCATTAGAGGGAAGTTGAGTCCTGCCGAGAAGCAACGTCGAATATCTCATAATCTTTGCCTCTATTGTGCTGATCCTAATCACAAAGCAGCTGTATGTCCCAAGAAGCCTCCTCGACTGCTCGAGTTCACTCTGCCTCAAAGTCCACCTCTATTGCAGTCGGAAAACGACCCTGTCCAAACAGAGTAGGAGCTGTCTGTTTGGACTCCCCGAATAAAAATCACTTTTCTTCTTTATCAAGCTCCTCACCACCTTTCATCAAAGCCACCACCAATTCCCGCAACTTCCGTGTCCCATGTCTCCTTTCTTTCACCGGACAATCAGGACTCAAGGCTCTGGCGTTACTGGACTCGGGTGCAACTTCCTGCTTCATGGACACGAACTTTGCTGCCCGACATCACGTTCCTCTTTCTCCTACCATACGGGATTTGAGGGTTGAAGGCATCGGCGGACATTTTGTGTCTCCATCTTCTGGACTTAGGGAAACGTTGCCCGTTCGAGTACACATCGAGTCCACCGTCACCGATATTGCCTTCAACATCATCAACAGCAAGTCCTCCTCTGTGGTGCTCGGTCTTCCTTGGTTCCAACTACATCAGCCTCAGATTCGTTGGAAGGAATTACAGCTCATCTCTCCCACGGCTTCCCCTGCTGTTCATCGAATCCGAATCAGGAACAGTTCCCTAAACTCAAATCGGGGTTCTGTTCCTGACTCTATAAAGTTTTCACCCTCTTCTTTTTCCTCTCTTCCATCTTACACTGGACCATATCCTCGTC